GTGATGAGTTTTTCTGACCACTGAGGAGCTATTTAATAGAATTTCATTTTTAGAGGCACATAGTCCAGAAAAAAAACAAAACAGTTTTTCTAGTTATGATATTGAATCAAATAACCATTCTGTGCCCAGAGTGACATAACTGTAAAATGAGCCTTATTTCTCATAAGTGTCCTTTTTGCTAACTGCTCACAAATTGTATGCTGGCTTATGGAAGGACTCCTGTGTCAATGCTGTCACTTTTGTCCCTTTGGCTCTCCATGAAACTAGTCATTTTTCCTCTTTTTAAAGAATGTTCTTCTTTTCTCAGGTTTATTAGATCTCTAATACCCATCAGAAGTTCTTGAATTCCTATCATTTTTTTTCTTCAACCATGGTTGTAGAGGAATACAGAGAACATTTTCATAATGTTCAAGTAAAAAAATATTTCTAAGCCTGTCAGAAACTAAATAACCTCTAAAAGATGATATATGGCAAATAGTATACAAATGGTAACATATCCCTAACTATAACTAATTCCAAAACTCTGAGCGGTCAAAAGCAATCCTAATCTCAAGAAAAATAAACATCTTCATAAACAGCAAAATCTCCTATAAGAGAAGATGGTCAAGAAAATGCCTCAGTAAATTAGACCAAGAATGTGGTTGAAAATCTAAAAAACAATGACATCAGAATACGGGAAAATGGTCTAAAGTAATTTGAATTAAAATTATGCCGTTGTCAAAAATTTTTTTTTGTGCTTTAGGTTCTGGGGTACATGTGCAGATCATGTAGGGTTGTTGCATAGGTACTTACATGGCAAGGTGATTTGCTGCCTCCATCCCCTGTCACCTATATCTGGCATTTCTCCCCGTTATCCCTCCCCAACCTTCGCACCCTCCACTGTCCATCCCCTAGCACCCTCTGACAGACCCCAGTGTGTGATGCTCCTCTCACTGTGTTGATGTATTCTCATTGTTCAATATCCGCCTATGAGTTGTCAAATTTTTATAATGTGAGAATGAAAATTTTAGAAGCATACATTGTAAAACATAATTGAAGGGTAATTTGTTAATACTATATATCAAAATTAAGATGAAAATCTTTTAATCAGAATTAAACCTGAAGTATCCTCGGGTATAGCAAGGAGTAAACAATGTCAGCACCAGATTTGCATTAAAAGATGATACATTTAACGAAAACGAAACCTTAAGGACTAGTGAGCCAAGTAAAGGCCAGCTAATGGGCGGCAGAGACTGCTAGTGAGCACCCACATAAACCCACATTTTTCTCTACATTTTAAAGCCTTTTCTGGACTAAGTGCCTCTAAAAATGAAATTCTATTAAATAGCTCCTCAGTGGCCAGAAAAACTCATCTCTAAATGTTTCCCTCACTGCTGTGCCTTATGTTGAATATCCTAAATTGAATTTGACAATTAGAGGAAAACCCTTGTTTTGAGTTACTCAATTCTACTTTCTTATCATCATTGTAATGTGAGAACCTGGTAGAAGACTGGGGCTATGTGACTCTGTTTTGGCCAATTACATGTGAGCAAAAGTAATGTATGCTGCTTTTAAGCTTTACCTTAAGACCCCTGCTCAATCATCCATTTTCTATCTACAATGACCGTTGAGTCCATATGTTGATGGCATCAAGCAATGAAAATAACTTGAATCCTTAGCTTATTAGACAGTTCCCAAGGAGAGCCACCTAGCCTGAAGTGACTGTGATGTCACTAAGAATAAGCCTTTATTCCATTAAGCTATTGAGTTTTTTAGGTTTATTTGAAATATACAATTGCTTAGGACAGTGCTTCTCAAATTTTAGTGGACATAAAAATTCTTCGGAGACCTTCTTAAAACCCAAGTTTCTGGGTGAATTCCTTAGAGATTTTGATTCAGTAGGTCTGAAGATGGGGAAATTGTGATTCTGCATATCTAACAAACTCCTGGATATTAATGCTGCTAGTCCACAGACAACACTGGCCTAAATATTCTGAATAAAATACTGGGAGTAGAATTAGATTAACAAAATGTGTGTAAAAAAAATGTGAGGTCTTGAGGCAAGATGGAAACTTAGGCTGATATGCACAAGGAACTGAAGATGGGTGAGTGGAAAAATTATTGTAAGCAAAATGATGAGTCAAGATGATACAGAAAGTTCAAGTTGTGAGCTTGGAGGTCATATTTGGCACCAAATCAGAATTCCCAGAGCAAGCATGTGGCACTAGTACAAAATTAGTTGTCTCACGAATATTTCGTGGTATTGATGGAGTGCAGAATTTGTTCACAAATATGGCACATATGACTGCCAGCATACCCAGTCTGCTGTACCAAATGTTTCCAAGACAAATCCAATGGATTCTGAAAACTCAAAGAAAAAGATATTTTTTATCAAGTGTAAAAGCTGCAGTGTGAGTAGGCATTTTGATAGACTAATACTTTGTGAACAGCCTTACCTCTGTCTATAAATTAAGGCTGGAAAATGAAGAGGGAATCAGAGCATCATTATCTTTGTAGTCACCAGAGGCCTCAAGAAGCAGCAGTGGTGTACTCAGTGACAATGTTCACAGTGGGTAGGAATCAGAGACACACATGTGGACCTTACCAATGAGTGGGGAGAAAGTATGACCAAAGACTCATTTCTTAAATGAAACCCTATATCCCCATCATAATATATGGTAGAAGCAGTGTATGGTAACTCGTGAGTGGGGCTTCTGGAGTCAGATCACCTGTGCTCAAGACAAACCTCTACTACTTGTTATCTTAGTGATCCAGGAGCAGGTTACATTTCTTCTATTCCTCAGTTTCCTCATTTACAGCACTGTTTACTGGAAAAAAACCTGTAAACTAGAGTTTGATAAAGAACTAGATATTCTTTATCTAGTCAATATTAGACAGATCAATGAAACAGAAAATTAACCAGGATATCCAGGACTTGAACTCAGCTCTGGCCGAAGCAGACCTAATAGACATATACAGACCTCTCCACCCCAAATCCAAAGATTATACATTTTTCTCAGCACTACATCATACTTATTCTAAAATTGACCACATAATTGGGAGTAAAACACTCCTCAGCAAATGCAAAAGAACGGAAATCATAACCAATAGTCTCTGAGACGACAATGCAATCAAAATTAGAACTCAGGATTAAGAAACACTCAAAACGCACAACTATGTGGAAACTTAATAACCTGCTCCTGAATGACTACTGGACAAATAATGAAATGAAGGCAGAAATAAAGATGTTCTTCGAAACCAGTGAGAACAAAGACACAAAGTACCAGAATCTCTGGGACACATTTAAAGCAGCGTGTAGAGGGAAATTTATAGCACTGAATGCCCAAAAGAGAAAGCAGGAAAGGTCTAATTTTGACACCCTAATTTCACAATTTAAAAAACTAGAGAAGCAAGAACAAACAAATTCAAAAGCCAGCAGAAGACAAGAAATAACTAAAGTTAGAGCAGAACTGAAGGAGATATACTAAATTTTTTAAAAGAGTGAATTAACTATTTATATGTAGATATGAAAAACTCTCCAAAACAAGTTGACAAACAATGGCCTGTGGGCCAAATCTGACCCATGATCTGCTTTTGTAAATAAAGTTTTATTGGAACACAGCTATGCTCATACATCTGCATATTGCTTATGGCTACAGAAGGGAAGCCTAAAATCTTTATTACTGGCTATTCAGAGAAAAAGTTTGCTGAGCCCTGCTGTAAGATATTACAATAAACAATAAAAGTAATGAACATCTTGCATTGTTTATGCCATTAATGTGGTACAAAATATATGTATATGCAAATGTATAGAATCTTTCAATGAATTCAGAAAGAAAAATATAAAAATTATGACATGCACTCTTCTCTCCCCTCTTTAGTATCTTTTGTATCTTTTACCATGTAACATGAATTATATGTACATGTAAATAGCATTATTCATGCATAAACATTAATGTTCAGTTAAATATAGATATATGCAGAAATAGCACAAGTGTTGTACAACTGGATTAAACCATTTAACAAAAGTCCAATTTATCAGCAGTTTGGCTATGTTAAATTATATATGCAATTGATCTAATTGATCATTCTCAATAATTATCCTTACATTAGAAAAATTCACCTTTAAATTCTATCTATAATAGAACTGCTTAATTGTAGTTTGCTGCATGTTAAGTTTTAAAACCACTTTAAGAATTTCCGGTGTCATCTCTTCATTAATATTATTGTAAATTTGGAATACTACAATAGAATGATAATTCTAGGGGATGGAAAGTCCAAGATTAAGAATCCAATAAATTCAGTGTCTGATGAGGACTGCTCTCAGCTTCCCAGATGGCACCTTGCTGTTGTATCCTCACATGGTGAAAGGGGTGAGTGCTGTGTCCTCACAAGGCAGAAGAGTTGCAAGGACCAGGCAGCTCTCTGAAGCCTCTTTTATAAGGGCATTAATCCCATTCATAAGGGTGGAACCCTCATGGCCTAATCTTCCTAAAAACCCCACCTTTTAATACCATCAGCTTATAGTTAATGTTCCAAAATATGAATTTTGGAGGGACATGTACATTCAAACAATAGCAACCACTCTCTAAAATCTCTAAGTACTTCTATGTGCTGTCCCAATAATGCCAGGGAAAAAACTTTATCATGGTCTTCTCAGTCCTCTTTGACGTCTAGTCCCTAAGCTACAAGTTCTGAAAAGACTTCTTCAAACCTGTGTATGAGAAAGGCTTGACTGGCTACCCTGTAGTATAAGCAACCCTGAAATTAACAACTTAACACAACAATATTTATTTCTTGCTCATACTGCATGTCCATCTCTGGCCAGAATACTCTGTTTGATGTGGGACTCAGAGACCCATCATGACAAAGGCTCTACTGTCTTGTGGTTTTATTGCATGGAACATGTAGCCTCAGTTGCTGTGTTCGGGAAGAGGTGTAGGGTTGGACACTGATTTTAAGTGTGTGAACTCAAAAGTGACACTGGACACCCCTGCCTACAGTGTAGCAACCAAAATTAGTCATGGGTACCCAACAAATATTTTGAACCAGGAAGTACCAATAATAATACTTTGATCTCCTTTGAGGGGTGGCATTTCTTCAGTTACAGCTGCACTGGTATCATCAGCAGTAGGGTCATCTTCATCAATACCTAGACCAAATTTGATCATCCTATAGATCCTGTTAGCATGTGTCTGGGGATCTTCCAGACTGAAGCTGGAAGACAGGAGCACAGTTTCATAAAGCAGGATGACCAGATCCTTCACAGACTTGTCCTTCTTATCAGCCTCTGCCTTTTGCCTTAAGGTCTTGATTATGGAATGGTCAGGGTTTATCTCCAGGTGTTTCTTTGCTGCCATGTAACCCACTGTTGAGTTGCCTCTTAGGGCTTGAGCTTTCGTGATTCTCTCCATGTTTGCTGTCCAGCCATATGTGCTTGTGACAATACAGCATGGAGACGTCACCAATCAGTTTGACACAACCACCTTTTCAACATTTTTCTCCAATATGTCTTTCATGATTTTGCAGAGGTTCTCAAACTTTGTTTTTTTCTCTTCCTGTTTCTTTTTTTCTTCTTCATCCTCTGGAAGTTCCAAGCCCTACATCATGCATGGAAGAAGTAGACTAAGCTCCAGCTGAGGGATGACTTACCTGTTCAATACTCTACAGTTCCTCTAATAATATATTTTCAAGGATGTTTTTCTTTATTTTTGTTAACATTAAAAAGTCTGTATGGCATGACAACAACTACTTTAAGGTGAAGATAAAGATTCTTGTCGACTAAGCAATGCTGTGATACTTTAGGCAGTAAAGCAGAGCTAGTAATGCTTTTTTAGTTTCACATTGGCTTACATTAACAGATCAAGGTAATGTGTGTTGTAAGATGTATGTAACATGTTAACTTTGTGGTCTAAAGTGTTTAGCTATCAAGCCGGATTCCTTAGTAGACCAAATCTTGTTATTGAAGTGTTCCCAAGCTATACCTTGATATTTAGAAGAAAAGTATTTGTTATATCTTGTAGGATCTACTTTCTGAACTTTTCATCCCCTGTAGTTGCCAATTCTTCATGTACTAGTCCGCTAGAAATAGGTTAAACTGAAGCAACTTGATGGAACTCTCCATAGGGCTTGTTTTCCAAAGAAAAGTATTGTTTGGAGGAGCAGTAATTAGCCTACCTAAGCATATCATAAGCTATTCAAAAATAACTCAGAGCCAGTCGTGTGGATGGAAATGTGGTGCTTGAGTCACATTCTGTTTAAAGTTGTAACAAATACAGATGAGTTAAAAGAAAAAAAAATGATAATAATACTTTGATCTCTAATAATACCTTGGTCCAGTTTCTCAAATTTTTTGCTGCTTTCATAGTTTTCATTGCTGAAACATTGTCAGTTGATATAAACAGTTATACTGTATAACTCTAAGGCCTACATAAATTTGTCCAGCAAGGGAAAAATGTAATTTGACTGCAGAAACCTATGGAGATTAATACATAGACCACTGTTTCTCAATGACAACTGCACATAAGAATTAGTGAGAAGATTTAAAAATTACTCTTTCTGAGACACCACTAGAGATTCTAATTCAATTGATGTGGGTTAAGGGAGTCCAATATATCTTATGACAATTCCCTACGTTTTTTCTCACTGAGTGGGTGGGAGTTTATGTTGAAAAACAAAATTCATGTCCATAAATGTTCAGATCCTTTCAGTCATTAAAACTTTAGTCATTTATGAGTTCCTGGGTTTATGAGCTTCTTTAAGTCAGATATTAGGTGCTGGTAATAGAATTTGATAATAAAAAGATGACTGTTCCTCAGTTTATCATAAAGATGAGTAGAAGGTAATACTGGTTAACTTGTTTTAACCTATTTAGGTTGAGATTCACCAAATTGAAGTTAAAATAAAATATATGAGTCTTATTAGAGATCTTGCTTGGGAATTCATTTTCCTAAGCATTCAGTAGGTGACATTAATGTTATTAATAGTTTTTTGAGCTCTAAAATGCTCTATATGAGAAAAATATACGAGAATTGTTAACTGTGAGATCATCAGCAAATAAATTCATTGAGTATGACTCACATTCAAATCGATTAAGTTACTTCTGCAAATGTTATGCTTGACGACTGTTCATAAAGCATAGTGGCCTAAATAAGATACTTTTGTGTAAAGCATCAGCCTATCAAGTTGCTGGTCATGTACCTAATTTTATTCAGATTAGTTTCACTTTCATTTATATATAATTATGCTTTTTCATATTTTTCTACTACTATTTCCTCTTTCTGAGTCATTCTTTAAACCACTGAAAGATAAGATACTATTATATTCCTTGAATGCCATGCTTTCTAAGAAAAACGTTGAATCCAGTTCTGCAAAGAAGGTCATTGGTAGCTTGATGGGGATAGCATTGAATCTGTAAATTACTTTG